TGTGTTGTGTTGTTTTGTTTTAATCCATGTCCCGGATAAAAACCCAAGTGATGAAGTTTGAAGCTGACACAGACGTTGGAAAAGTGGTTGGATAGAAGAACGGCTGCCTAGCACTGAGCAAATTGTAACATCTGGTAAGAGTAGATGAGTGAGCAACGTGCATTTCCATACATCCACTGTCAATCTCAAAACAAAGGACCTCAGAACGGTGATTTTTAGCCCTTCGTACCTGAAGGACCATGCAACATCTTTAAAAAAAAAAATCCTTGGTCTACTTATAGTCCCACTGACTGTCACTGCGAGGCACCTGCCACCTGCACGGGGTATGTGTGTACATGTCAAAAAGCTTGCAAGTGTTCCTGGACCAACTTCTCATGCGTTGCAAATTGCAGTCATCCTGACTGCAGGGAATAACACCATGGCAGGTCAGACTTGGAGCATCGGTGACTGCATTATGAAAAAGGGTAACTCTGAAAAATCCTGGGGTAGCAGTGGGGAGTAGCAAGCCGCAGGTGATTGTGGCACGTGGTTCTGTGACAAAAGGAATAACAAGGTCCTTGAATCCACAAAAAAGGAAAGATACTGGGTTGGAAACATTGCTTGAGCTCTTTACTTGTGTCCTGTGTGCTCTCAGTTCTATGGTCCTGCTAAGCACAAGCCTAGAAGGAAGAGGGAAGAGCCATGATGTGAGTAACAGGCTGTGAAGTGCACCTCATAGAACCTGGGTCAAGGAGCTCAATGCTGTCCATCTTCTGAAAGAAAAGGTAAGAAGTAACTTAAACACAGTCGGGCAGGGCTGGATCTGGAAAAAAGGTCTAGATGCACTAAAAGGGGTGTAAGCAGACTTAAAGCTTCAAAATTTAGATCTGGAAAGGTACCTGTTCAACAGCTTCCTAACCCTAGAGGCAATTCAATTGATTGGGTACCTCTCTGTTGGGCTGCAGAGATTCCCTTCCGGAACCTGCAGTTCTGCTCCTATGTGTGCCCTGGACTATCCTGGCCACGTCACTCTGCTGCTTGCCCCTGCCTAGGGTGGATCAGGATCCCCAAAATAGGCAGAGGGGTATTGCAGCCCTTGGAGCCCCCTCAACAAGCCCTCAACTCCTCTCCACCACACCCCACCATACGTCACCCATAGCTCTTCTCACCTTTACGTATGTATTCTGCATTAAACAATCCTGAATGAAATCACCCCAGGAGCAGAACTTGCTCTTGCCTTTCCTCCCTCCCCATGCCAGCCGAGTGCCCTAACCACTAGCGCTCTGTCTCTCAAGATGTGTTCATGCCGTGGTGCCCAGCCTTGCCCACGACAAGCTCCATGCAACCCCTCTCTCCATGACCCTCCTGGCTTTCCCCCAGCAAGTACACCCGCAACCGAAGCAGCTCTCGGGGTTTGGGTTCCCAGGCAGGGGCAGGCACACAGCTTGTAGGTACCTGGACCTAGCCTTAAGCAGGGAAAACCACATTTGGCAGCAGAGGGCTCTTCCCCTTCACAGAGTAAGGTATCGTGAGATTAAAAGGCTGCAGGATGAGACTTGGCAGATTCAGACTCAGGACAAAAGACAACAATAATTAACAACGTGGGTAATTAAGCAGTGGAAGAGCATGCTAAGGTCTGTGGCTGGTTCTTCAATGCTGATTTTTTTTACGCTAAAATGTCTTTTTCTCAAAGAGATGCTCCAGTTCAAATGGGAGTGAATTAGGTCAGGGGAGTTCTCTAACCTGAGGTAGGTAGAAGATCACGCAGATAATCCACATACTCCCTCTGGCCTTGTGACTAATTCCCTTTGGTACAGTTATTCCTGATGTAAGTGAGATCCGCTCGGACCTGTGCTTGCCCCCAGGAACTTATAAACTAATTACGTTTGTTGTGTCAACCCATTAGATACTCATAAGCTGCACACAGACTCATTAGTTAGACTGAATTATGTCTTTGCTCTTTGAACGTTATCAAAAGATTTAGATCTAGCATGTTTCATGATCTGCCACCATTACTTCTTCTTTGTACACAGACTTCTGTGGTTACTCCTTGCAAACAAACCACAGACTTTTAATGCGCATATGCTGGTTTCGGTTATTTCGTAGATTGAAACTATGGTGGCTGATGTCATCCCGATCTTTTAAATTTATCTTGCTTTTGATGAAACCCTTTGTTGCTAGATTTATTTTTTTAAGTAAATATTTGTTTCAGATCTCATACATGAACTTTGTTTTAAGAAAACTGGCAGCCCAGATTCCTACAGAAGATGTATAGTAGCTCACGCATCAAGGGGCTGCAGGCCCCTGGTACCTCCACATCTGTAATGCCTGCAAAGGAGCCTGGTTCATGGTCTCTCCCAGTGAGCAGGATGTTCATGGAAGGTGGGACGTGATAGAGGAGTATCAATTTAATGGCAAATGCATAAAGCACCTGGATTCAGTGCAAATGAGCTGTTTTGCTTTGAGCTGGCTCTAGACTATGAATTTTTCTAGGGCACAGCTATGCAGTCAGACTCTTGCTGTGAAAACCTCAGGTCTCTGTACCTCCTTTGGAGTCTGAAGCCTCAGAAGCCTTTAGAGCCTCATTTCTTCCATTCCCCCTTTAAGAACAAACAATGAGGAACTGGTCTTGGGAGAGTTTTGAGAGGCCACCACTGTCTTCCAGCTGCGGTGATGTTCCATTGGGCTCTGGGGGAGTAAAGGTCCATTGGGTGTCACCTTTATGTCTTCATCCCAAGCCATTCTTTCTGGGGGAGCTCAGTGCTCCATGGCTGCAGGAATGTCAAGAGCTGCTTCAGAGCCACTGTCTTTGTTCACGTTTATACACCAGTTTGCATTCTTGCTGTGCTGGCTGTGCATTTAATGTGTGAATAATAGTTTTTTATGACTGTTATTCAGCACCTACGTACTTTTGCTGGAAGGAAGGTGGAGGAGAGCAGGGTGGGGAGGTTTTTAGTTTATGAAACTGTTATTATTTGCTGACAAGATCACTGAGTATCTTAAGAAGAGGGAATTTGATCTCCTTCCAAGTAACTAAACAGGAATTTGCACTGCAGAATATGTGTGAAGCATGTGTATTCCAGGAAAAAAAAAAAAAAAAAAAGGAGCATTTACAGTCCCATTGCCTAGGGACTTCAACATCTGTGAGGAAAAAACATTAGTGTCCATGTTCTTTACGATGACTTGATTATTTTAGCTCCAGGCCAGTGGAGCAGTACATGAACACACCCTCCTGCTAGACCCACCTCACGTGAACTCAACCTCATTGGCAATCACTTTCTTGTGCTTCAGATATTCCTAAAGTTTCATCTAGCCTGGGAAAACAAGATCATTGTGAAGCAGGTATGCAAGAAACACGTTCCAGCCGACCGGGTTTTTCACATGGTGCAGACATTGGTGAGGCTAACACTGGTGGAGTCCTCAAGAGAGCATGAGAGTGCTCCAGATGTCTTGGCTCTGAGAGGCATTTGGGGGGTCCCTGAAGGAGACTTGGACTTTGAGTCCTGCTCCTGCAAATTTGCACTCACATAACATACACGCATGAGTCCCACCAGGAGTGCAGCTCCACAGTCCCCTCCTACTCAGGGACAGTAGGAATTAGACACGTGCAGCCCAATGCTTCCTGGCTGTATGGCCCTGCAGACAACCACAGGGCTGACCATGCTGCCCAGACCGTGACACCAACGCTGCCACCGCAAACCCAGGCCCATCGCTGAACCCAACCAGGATCAGGAGGTGCTTGCAGGTCGAGGAGGTTGTTGCCCATTAAAGCAAGAGCATAAAATGGTGTGCAGTGTGTGAAGCACTGGCTGGCTGGCTCCACTTAAGGAATGGATGGATGAAAGTGGATGAAAGCCCCAGGGGATGGTGTGCAGCCCCCCGTTCTTGGGAGTGCAGTACCCAAGCACCCCACCATCAGTTGCAGCCACTGGCCGAAGGGGCGGAAGAACAGGCCAAGTACCCACTAAGGAGGAGAGGAGACGTTTCACTCATTTAATTTCACAGTTTCCAAAACCAGCCTAAAACCGGGGTTAGAGAACAAGTGAGAAGAAAAGCACTGTTTACATAATCCTTTGGCAGTGAAATGGGTCAGTGGTTCTTGCAGGAGAAGAGGAGTGCAGGTTTTAAGAAATAAACAGCATCGCTGTACTTGGTAATAGCTGGACAGACCTGCTTTCCTGGAGAGTAATGCAGAAGTTTATGATGGGTTTATATGCCTTGTCTTTTTGCCCCTGGTCTCTCCTCTGAACACAGCTCTGTAAAATGGAACATTCCTGCTGTTTTCTTTAAAATAATCTGTAATTCCTTGGCCATAACGCAAAGGGAGGCACCCATCTGTTTGTTTGGGTGTTTTTTTTCTCGCTTCCACAAATGTCCTTGTTTGTGTTAACTAGCAAATCTAATCATCCAGCTCAAAGGAGAGTTACACAACTGCAAACCTCCTGAGATTTCTGTCTAATAGCAAATCTTGCTTAATCCCCCCATGTTTGCTTCTTGCTTCAGATTTGCAGCTCCTTTGGCATTACAGCTGTGCTGTGCTTTTACATATAAACCAGATTAAATAGCAAAAGGAATGCTGAACGGAAAAGCTGTGTTATTTCCACCTTGCAGGACTTACTGAAATCAGCCTGGCTGTATTAAATGGGAGATAAAACTCCCGCAGGGATCATTAGTCTGAGTGATTCATATAAACACTTAAAGAACTCAGCCTTGGTCCCTAGTCAAATAAGGTGGGTAGTAGTGCACAACCAGCAGAGCCCCTCTTCTTGGGAGAGCACCGCTGATAGAAACCTAACTGTCATTTATCCTGACTGGGAGGCAGCAGGATGAGTATTGGGTAACAACAGATAACCCAGGGTTTGGGTAACTCTTCCAGGGGAGGAATTGCAAGTGTCTTTTCTGTGGAACTGCCTAGTGCTGTGAAACGTTCTTCGTCTGCGCCCTTGATGTGGGCCATCTGGAGAGGAAAATCTCGTCAACCTCTAGAAACGCAGCCAGGTTTATGATCACTTTCTTTTGCAGTTGACTTTTAAGGGAGATAATCTTACAGGAGGAGGTCTGAAGGAAAGGCAAGTTACAGGTATGTGCATTTAATACATGTTGATAAAGGCATAGATGAAGTTGCTTTCTTTCCCTCCGGTCTGCACTGTCTGGTTTTCAGGAGCCATCGCTCAAACCAATCCTTCCTGTTAGCTTTTTGCCTCCACCCACATGTTATGGGGCCTCATTCCGACCTCAGTGCCGGTGGCTGCAGCACCGGCACTGAGGCTGCTGCGGGGCGGTATGAATGAACAGCACCAGCGGTCACAGCCTGGGGGGTTCCCAGCTGTAATACTGAACTCTTCCCTCTTTGAGCTGAAAAAATACCACGTGCTGGGGCAACCGCCTGTGCGACATCTTTTATGGGTGACTTCCACAGGGAGCTGCTTCTCTCGTCTTGCTTTGGGCCCTGCCTGCCTGGTTTGGCAGATGGCTCCCCTGTCGCAGCAGCTTTGCCAGTTCTGGAAGCAGCCCTAGCATCAGCCGCTGCGGGGATGCTAATAGAGCGTAGCTGAAACAAAGCACGTAGCTCAGAGTGTAGAGCTGGGTAGCCAAGTTTCTGCAGCACTTCCAGATGTGAAGCGGGGGAGTTGGTTTTAGCCTATTTTTCAGATTTTTTTAATTCTTTCTGATTTTTTTTTTTTTTTAAGCACCACGCAAGCACACTGCGAACAATTTGTACTGTTTGTGTGCATTCAACTGCCTGTTCCCAGTGGCAGTCGCTTAGTGTTTTTTCTAGCTGAGACTCTCCGACTGAAGCCCCGTCTGTGTTCTGGGGCAGGTTGGCAGCAGAGAGCTCTTCCACTGAAATCCAAGCAAAAACTCTGCCATGCTACTCTGTCCCATGTGTGACTTCTGCCCATGGGCTCCGAGGTAATCCCATCCTGACAGACCCCTCCATGGACTGAGGAGGGGCAATGCCTACGCTCACTCAACCAGGAGATAAAATTCCTCTTAACTTTGGGGAGTTTGGACAGAATAAGGACTGTGTGGTTTTGGCCAACCAGTTTGGCGAGGAGTCCTCCAAGGAGGCATTATTGCTGAGTAACTTTCCATCCCCGTGGGCATTCAGGAGAAGGGGCAGAGGCTGCTGAAGAGTCATGCCAGGTATTTATTTCCTCAGGGAAGCAGGAGCTGGGACCCAAACTTCGGTCCCCCTGTCAGCACACTGCACCGGTGCTTCAGCTTCTCCTTAACATGCATCTTTCCCCTGATTTTGTCCTGTGTGTAGTTTCAAGCAACCTACTTAGCAAATTCTGCAGCATTTTCTGGGGAATTAAATATGATTGTGAGGGGGGATTAAGTTGTGAGAGGGACTAAAGAAGCCTCCAGTGCAACTTCTCAATGCTTCTTTTCAGGTGATAAGAAATGAGCGTGATGATGCCCTGCTTGCTGCTGCTCCTTCTCCTGGTCAGCTTCAGCTCAACTGCACCCAGGTTTTCAGTGCGTATCTTTTAGCTGGTGACTGTACAAGCTCTCTGTGGCATGCCAATGGTTTATAATTCCCTGTGGTATAGAGATAGGTGCTCCCCCACAAAAAAGATGTGGGCCTGCGAGAGCAGAGCAAAAAGGTGTCTGCCTGCAGCTAAAGGAAGGTCATTCTTGCTGTCCTTACAACATAAGGTTTTCACAACATTGAGGGTTGCACAGCTCTCCGGGTGCCTGGACTGACATTGGCAAGAATTAAAAACAACAACAACAAAAAGGCCTTTAAAGAAAAAAAACAAAAGGTGATTTTATGGCCAGTGAAGAAATACTCAGCTTCATTCCCTCAGGGAAAACTGCCTTCTTTTTATTCATTGCAATTTAAAGAACGGGAAGGGGAAGAGGCGGTAGGCGTAGTCTGAGCCAATCTGTACTCATCTGGTGAGAACATTACTCTTGGGCTATACGAAGGAGGTACAGAGCTTGGCAAGGAGAGTTTGGTGAGCTCGGGGCTGTCTGCAGCAGGTCCCTGTGTGCCTCCAGCCTAGAAATCCTCCTCTGTGGAGGAAAACCAACAGGCCAAGGCAGTCTGCTGTCCTGGGCAACTGCTTGTTTTGCTTTTCCCTAGAACTGATCCTGACCTGGTATCGCTCAAGCCAGCTTGCTCAGAGTGAACATAGCCAGTGATTCTTATTGCATGGGTTTGCTTAGTTGTCTTGGAAGAGATTTTCCTCTGTGTTGTTACATTTTTAATGGAATAAATTGTTGCTAAAAGTGTATATCCCAGCCAATTTGGGCAACATTCTGGTCTTAGTTACAGTAATGCAGCTCTGAAGTTACTCCACTGATCCCAGTAGAATCACAGAATGGTCAGGGTTGGAAGGGACCTCTGGAGATCATCTAGTCCAACACCCCTACCAGAGCAGGGTCACCTACAGCAGGTTGCACAGGACGGCGTCCAGGTGGGTTTGGAATGTCTCCAGAGTGGGAGACTCCACAAGCTCTCTGGGAAGCCTGTTCCAGTGCTCTGCCACCCTCAAAGTAAAGAAGTTCCTCCTCATGTTTAGATGGAACTTCCTATATTCAAGTTTGTGCCCGTTACCTCTTGTTCTGTCACTGGGCACCACTGAAAAAAGACTGTTCCTATCCCCCTGGCACCCTCCCTTTAAGTATTTATAAGCATTGATAAGATCATAGAATCATAGAATGGTTTAGGTTGGAAGGGACCTTGAAGATCATCAAGTTCCAACCCGCCTACCATAGGCAGGGACACCTCCCACTAGACCAGGTTGCCCAAGGCCATGTCCAGCCTGGCCTTGAACACCTCCAGGGATGGGGCCTCAACAACCTCCCTGGGCAACCTGTTCCAGTGCCTTACCACCCTCAAAGTAAAAAATTTCTTCCTAATGTTTAATCTAAACCTGCCCTCTTCCAGTTTAAAGCCATTCCCTCTCCTCCTGTCACTACATGACCTAGTAAAAAGTCCTTCCCCAGCTCTCCTGTAGGCCCCCCTTTAGGTACTGGAAGGTTGCAATAAGATCTCCCCGGAGCCTTCTCTTCTCCAGGCTGAACAGCCCCAACTCTCTCAGCCTCTCCTCATAGGAGAGGTGCTCCAGCCCTTGGATCATCCTCGTGGCTCTCCTCTGGACACGCTCCAGCAGGTCCATGTC